ATCTTTTCACAAAAGATGCTTTCAACTCTCTAGATTAAGTGTGTACAATTTCAGATTTCAACAACAACGAGAAGTTCATGTAAAATTAGTTTCAGTCACACTGGTCGGATTTCAAAAGTCTGAACAGCCATAGTTCATGAACATTGTCAATAGTGGATGTAGCCACTCCGCTTGATCAAACACTCGGCACAGCGTGGACACATGGGCAGGATATGTCTTTGGAGAACTTGTTGGGGTAGGTTCTGCACTCCTGGACAAGGTAACCCAAGAGTTGTTGAAGGTTTTGTGCAGGAGGGTGGTTGTCCCTTATTTACCGGTCAATGTGATCCCAAATGTTCTCTATTGGGTTCAAATCCGGACTACAAGCTGGCCAGTCCATGCAGGTGACAGCTCGCTGCTGCAGGACGTCCCCCACGATGCGTGTGCGATGTGGCGGGGCGTTGTCGTCCTGCAGTACAGCCTGGAGTCCAATCTGCTGAAAGAGAGGAACAGCAAGGGAACGCAGGATTTCATTCCTGTACCTTGCCGCGGTCAAATTGCCCTGTATATGGTACAGGGGGTCCTTGTCATGAGCTGAGAAGCCTCCCTACACCAGACCAGACCCTCCACTGTAGGGCGCCACCTGCTGGATGCACTCAGGGTGGAACAGCGCTTCTCGGCGCCTCCAGACGTGGGCTCACCTGTCTGGGTATAGCAGGTTGAATCTGGATCCATCCGAGAAGACTACCTGGTCCCACTGACAGTGTGTCCACTGTGAATGGCAAGCAGGCCACGCCTGGCCAGCTGCTTTGTGGGGTAGCGTGTGCCTTCAGCGCCTGACAGGGACACGAGAAGCTAACCTGGATCTACGGATACGGTTCCTTTCCGTCTCCTCGCTCTCGTGGACATTGGCTATCACCCGTAGTTGGTCCCTGATGCCGTTTGCAGTGGTGGCTCGTGACGTCACGGCCTGTTTGACGATGAACTAGTCGATGCTGTTGTTGGTCAAACGGGGTGGTCCTGGTCGAGGCCTGTTCTGGACCCTTCCGGTCGCTCACCCTCGTTCTTGCAGCCTCTATATGACTTATGGAGACACCCCAAGTCGATGTGCAACAACTGGGAACTTGGAGCCATCTTGGAGCCAGGTAAGGGCTCGTCCTCTGTCGACGTCAGGCAGGGAGTGTTGTTGGGCCATCGTGTTGTAATGAAACATGGCTGAAAAACGCTGGTTTATAAAGGGTTGTAAGTGAGCAATATTCACAGCTAAGACATCTGTTTAGCACGTGCCAAGCTTAGTTTTAGCTAACAGTCCCTATGCCAATGTTGCTGAGTCAGAGAAATTTAGCCAATTTTTCATGCTTTTCGGCTGTGTTTCAGAACGCCCTGGGCCGTCGCTATGAAGCTGTACAGGCAAACTGTGTCTAGTCGTCAGTGCGTGTGCCAAGTTTGGTTGACTGATCTTAACGGGTCTGTGGTATATTGGAGTTTGAATTTGACAGGTGAAAACACAAAATGTTCCTTGACTTTTTTGGGCGAGTTTATATATATA